TTCTGGAGACCGCGATTTACGTGGCCGGAGGTACGTATGGCCGCGTTTAGTTTTTTTTTCGAGCGAATGGTTTAGGGAAGGAGGAGGAGTCGATCGTTCAGTTGTTCAGCTAGCCAGTCAGACGGATGGTCGCTCCACAGCGGCCTCCGGCGGCTTTTCATGCGAGAACAGCGCGGGCGCGAAGGGGCGCGCTCCCGAGAGGCGTCCGAGACGCGAAAAAGCGCGCACGGCGGCCTCTCGCGGATCCGCAAAAACTGCTCGAATACGTACCTCCTGGGACGTATTTTGCGGTCTGCCGAAACGTCCGCGGGGCTACGTTTCCACAATGAGCCCGGGTTGGGACATGATTGTCTTGTGCCTCTTTGGGTTGCCGCCATAATGTGTTGTTCACTTGCATGCACATTTCTGGAGGTAATACATTTCCAAATTAACTAATTTAGGTAAAGTGTTGCAGGTCTAGTGGCTGTTTTGTAAGTAAACATCACCTTGGATATAATGCAAGTGCTATCAGTAACAGCTGAACAGCTGTGTTCTTTTTGGCTCATTAAAACTCTTGCTGTTGCATTCTGGATCAGAGTTACAGAGCCATGTGGCCCACGTGCCATAGTTTGAGGTTACAGAGTTACAGAGGATTGGTGGCCCTGGTTGGAGAGCCTGCCAAGAGAACACAGCAATGGTTCAGCCAGGACAAAATGTCCTGACCATAACTGCCATCACTCTAATTTTCCCATAATCCCCTGTATTTCACACCAATCATACAAAACTCCCGTAATTTCAAAAGAAGAAATCATAACGATTTTTTTATTAATTTAATTTAATTTATTTTATTTTAGGGCGGCACTGTTACTCAGTGGTTAGCATGGTTGACTCAGGTTTAAGTCCCAGCTCAACCAAGAGGCCTTTCTATGTGGAGTTTGCATGTTCTCCTATATTTGCATGGGTTTCCACCAGGTGCTCTGGTTTCCTCCAGAAACCAAAGACATGCAATATAGGTTAATTGAATTAACTTTACCGTAGTGTGAGAATGAGAGACCGTATGGGTGTTTCCCAGCAATGAGGATTGTACTCTAAATATTGGCTTGTGGCTGGAAGGGCATCCGCTGTGTAAATCAATTGCCAGAGTCACTGACTATTCATTCCACTGTGGCGATCCCTGATAAAGTAGGGAACAAGCCAAAAGAAAAAGTGATGTGTTCTCCATTTTCTCTTTGCCATGCTAGACTCTGTGACTCTGATGCATTTTGTGACAGTGGTAGCAGAGAAAGACGACAAGTTTTGCATGTCCCTGCATTGCAAAGTTCAAGCTTGGTGAACTCGCACTATGTGACTGCGTGAGACCTATCAAAGATGAAAACTTACTAACTTTTTGGGGGAGTTTATCGTAGCTCCTAAACACATTTGACATCTGTGAAAATTATGCAATCGGTGGGTGTGTTCTGAAACGATGCCTTATTTGATGTTCAGTTGACTCAGTTGAATATGATATCTCATATTCATGGAGGTCAGACAGGAGAACAACAAGCAAAATGAACACACTGGAGGCTTAAGTAGCAGAGCTGGTACAAATGTATCCGCATCTGTATGATTGTTCTCAGAAATATTTTAAAGACATGGAGGGGGTCACACACCAGACATCATGACGGCCCACATATTTTTAGGTTCTTAACATTGTCTTCAATGAGTACACACACCAGTGGCACTATTTGATGTCTGTCTGTGACAAATATAAAACAATGTAGAGACAAGGCAGAGAAAGTGAATAAAAAAGAGAGAAAATAAGATGTATGTCTATATAAACAAATGAAAAAGATTTTTCTGCAAGGCATTTCTGCTCCCCAAATGTCTATTTATGGATAAACAAAAATGAAGTAAAATGAAGTAATACTGTGAAATATAATTCAAAGTACAAATAAGCATCTCAATAAAAATGTTACAATTTATTATAAATAATGAAGTAGTTTGTTCTTCAGTAGCTATGTTTCCATCCAAAAATACAAATTAACTTTATGCACAAAACAGGAATATCGCATAAAAGATGTGCGAATAAAGCAGTGTTTCCATCCAACAAGTCAAAGCAAACAAAATTGTTACTTGCTGATTAACTGGCGCCAAATATCAACAGTAAAAATGGAATTTGCTGCAGTAGGAGAAGCTGCGTGAATCTTTACTTCATTTAACAAATGACTTGTGCCTCAGAAGGCAATCCTGACACGCAGTGAACACACAATGGCATTTGAAGACAAGAAACGCGGAGCACAGAAGCTCTTGATTCTGGAGGTAATTAATAATATAGCACTAAAACCGAAATGGTTAAGGCATTTTAGAATGACCAAAACAACATTTCAGATATTCTACAATGTGGTCAGCCTGCTGGTTTGTCCATTCACACACACATTTTTATCTTCACATGATCTCTTATAACAAAATCACATGACCTTTTTAATGCTCATACAGGAATTTGTTCAGTAATAGTGTTTTTATTGCAGTTTATGCGCATCTTTTTCTATCGAATAAAAATTTTCCTACTCAGTTATGCGAATATGTTTTTATGTGCATTTCAAAATTTAGGTGCATCTTGGCGTTTCCATCAACCATTTTTTTATGCGCACATACAAAATGCACATGAAGGTGGATGGAAACGTAGTGTCACATTGAAGATTAATATAGCTGAACTATATGGGTGGACATATTCCATATTGAGTCAACCATGATAACCATTGAGCAACAGTGCCACCCCAAAATACATTACATTAAATTAAAAGAAAATCATTATCCTCTTCCCAGAACAGCTGGAAACCCCATTGATGAGACTCTTCCAGTCAGCACATATTGCAAAGCCCATTCTGCCCTGGCTGAACTATTGCAGTGCTCTCATGTATTTTAAACCACCCATGTATTTTAGCCAGTCTAGTAGGTGGTGGCAGTGGCACTATAAAACAGCCTGACAAACAATCAACATCACACCAACAAGAGGAGAACGACAGCAAGGTAGGTTCAAGACATTCATGTAAATAATGCTATCATATTGTAACTCAGTCTGTCAGGTTTCATCTGAAAAATCAGGGGTGTTTATCAAATGTTTATCAGAATTAATAATTGTGGGTGTGAAAGCATATCTTGTTAACTTCAAATGTCTTTCAAAATTAACTATTTGAAATTTGTTTAATTTTTTATTAGAGTGGTAGTTTGTAAACGATTGAAGCTGACAAGATGTCCTTACACCCTTATTTAAGGTTTTCATTCATTCTATATCACTTGAAGCTGACAAGATGCGCTACCCATTTTTTTAGATGAAATAAGACAGATTGAGCTACCACTAGCACATCCTGCATCAGTCAGCCAGAAGAGTTCTGCATGGTTTATTATCTTCTCACCGATGACGAGACTGAGCCAAAAGTGGCACATTTTAACCAGAATCTGCCCATAAGTGCTTGCTATCTGGGTATGCAGGCTCCAATATACGCAGATGATGCATGTGCACTCAACAGTGTGCTTCAAATGACTGCATTCTTTTGAGGGAGTATCCTACCAATAACAGATAATCATTAGACAACAGCTTCTCGAATAAAAGGTCTATAAAAGTGCATGTCTGATGTTTAACTTAACTAAGTGAGAAATGTTTGCACTCTCCTGTTGTAGAAATACTAAGAAAAATATTTTATATTAATAAGCTTTATAATAAATACATTTTTGCCAATGATTTAGGCCTTCAGGTAATGATAATCATCGATAGGTTCCCAATTTACATTAAGTGCAGTTTAGCTATCTATTATGTTACACTTAATTATGCTTTGTTATGATGTTATTATGACTGAATAGTGCTTATCATTTCCTGCAGAATTATAAGAAGTGCTGCTGCCCTGTTTCCACCTAAGGGCCTTTGGCGTTTCCCAAATCCATCGTTTCAATGAACATTTGCAAATTGCATCGCAAACTTTTAGAAGTTAGAAGCATAGTTCCTGGTTGTGTTCTATTCCCTGTTATCCCACCTATGTCCTATTCCTTTTGAACGTTCCAACATTTAAACTTGGAATGATAAAAAAAAAAAAAAAAACATTAAAGTGATCTCTCTTAGGCGTAATTTGCTTCTAAAGTCTTTTTACAGTTCAGTTTTAGCAAACTTCATATTGACAATTGCGCTCCCTTCACAGTGCACTTTGAAAACAATATGTGCCATTTTTAATGCAGTTGTGGGTTATGACGAAAGCTTTAGGTAACCTATGTTTATTATATTATATTTTAATAAAATTAAATTACTATTATTAATAAGTAGCATTGTTTTTCATTTCTTAATACATATATATATATATATATATATATATATATATATATATATATATATATATATATATATATATATATATATATATATATATATTCAATTATTAAATTTCATTTAATATGAAAAAACGAGTGAATGATTTTACCCAAACTAATATTGGATTGTTTGTAATTTGCACAAAAAATGATGGGGTTTTTCTCTAAAGAACTGGTTACTCCACCCCGTTTAGAGCGTCATTATGGACGTTCTGAATGAGACTACAGACTATTCCCTAACTCCATTCTCTTCCTTCCTCACCAAGCCCCACCCATCTTCATATGTTTAGCCTGCTTTATTCTAGTATGTGTAGTAAGCTTGTATTCACCTGTTTAGGTCATGATAACAATTGATATATGTTTTGTTTGTGATTCAGTGTTCTTTTTCTATTACACATCAGCAGCTAAAATAAGTAGTTTATAGATGCACTTGTATATTTCACAGGTCTTAGATTAGCACTATAAATAATATTATTATTAATTATGAGGCAAAATAAACTTTTATCTAAAAATGTACAGTATGATCTAAAAATAACTGTAATTAGTGCAATACTTTGCTTCAACTTGGTAAAAAAAAATATGGTAAAGTGCTGTATTTCATTTTACAGTATGCTAATTAATAAAGTAATACAGCAATGTTAGCCATTTATTTTTATTTAATAATTTTTTTTTTAATTTATAATTTATAATTTGTTTATTTATGTGGCATCATGGCTGAACTTGAACTAAGATCGCCATCCGCTGTGTAAAACATATGCTAGATAAGTTGGCAGTTCATTCCTCTATGGCGACCCCAGATTAATAAAGGAACTAAGCCGAAATGAAAATGAATGAATTATGTTCATTGTGGTTATATTACAGATGTCCAGTTCCAGAAAAGTGGTTGAATTGTTCTATGATGTCGTTTCTCCTTATTCCTGGCTGGCATTTGAGGTCTGTCATTTTATTTTTGTCTTTTTTTTTTTGTCTTGCCATCAGTACCAATATGACTGATTTTCTGTGTTTAGGTGCTGTGTCGCTACAAAAATGTTTGGAACATTGACCTCAAATTTAAACCATCATTTTTAGGAGGAGTTTTTCACGGTTCAGGTTATGGATGGAATTTTTTTTTTTTTGCTAATTCCTGACTAGATCTAATTTGAAAATCAAGTCATTCATTTAAAAAAATGACCTTAATACAGGATAAGAGTTGATTTGTTTTATGTGTACTAATTGTAAATCAGGCCCTTCTGGTAGCACGTTGTAACAGCTACACTATAATTCAGCTACACGTCACCTGTATTTTGCTTTTAATAATGAAAAGATGAAAATGTTCAATCCAATTTGTTTTGCTTTTAGGTAACACTGAACCTGGAATGGTCGATAATAAGCTCCATTATATGATCACAGATCTGAAACTGATGTCTGAGTACTATGGGGTCCCTGTAAATCCACCTTCGCCTTGTAAGAAAGGTATTCAAACCACAGTTTTTCTTTAAAATGTTGCCAATGAGGCACAATGGAAATGAATGTACAGTCAAACAAGCACATTTTTCAATTCATTATAATTTCGAAAATAGTAATAAAATATGACTAATTCAGTGCGTCAGAACAAAATTCAGAACATTTTTGTTTACAATCTACCAAAATAATTCAAACTACTGTTGGTATGACAAGATGCACACAGCTATAAATACTTTTGTTGGTTCACTTTCAGCCTCAATGACAGGCTATATAGGCTCTGCTGTCAACCAGTTTCATACAAACCCGATCTCTAATATTTTTTCGCAGAATTACTGCAGCAGTTTCTTCACTTCATATTGCTTTAGTCCACTGTTTGAAATTTTGGATATAAAGTCAAAGTTGACTTTATTTTGCTATTTTCACTTACATAAATGAACTAGGGCTTGGCGATTCATTGTAAAGTAATCAAAACCGACATTCAGAACCTATAATTGATCTATTTTTTCCAGAAGGACTTTTTCAATTACATTCCCTACATGTCACGTGACCCTCCTCTGTTAAAGTCTGTGGCAGATTTCTACTTCTGCAGACACATCTGATCTCTAATCAAGTAGGACGATGGTCCTATTCTTAAGTAGGTAGTGCTGTCGCCTCATAGCAAGAAGGTCGCTGGTTTGAGCCTTGGCTTGGTCAGTTGGCATTTCTGTGTGGAGTTTGCATGTTTTGCCCGCAATCACATGGGTTTCCTCCAGGTACTCTGGTTTCGCCCACAAATCCAAAGACATGTGGTATAGATGAATTGGTTAAGCTAAAATTGTCCATTGTGTATTTATGTGAATGGGAGTGTATGGGTGTTCCCAAGTGATGGGTTGCAGCTGAAACGCCATCCGCTGCGTAAAACATGTGCTGGATAAGTTGGCGGTTCATTCCGTTGTGGCAACCCCAAATTAATAAAATGACTAAGCCAAAAAAAATTTAAAATTAATGAATGAATGAATAATCGTTATCGTGTTAAATGTCCAATAATCAAGATTTTGATTTTAGGCCAAATCGCCCAGCCCTAAAATAAACTACAGTGTCCTGCAGACACTAGTAAAAAAATGCTATTATTTCTGGTGTGTGAAACCTTTGAAAATATAGAATGAATTGAATTTTATTAGTGCATGTTATACAGTAGATCTTAATCTGAACATTTATTTACTTGCCTTTGGCTTAGTCCCTTGATTCATCAGAGGACACAACAGCGGAACGAACCGCCAACAATCCAGCATATGTTTTACACAGTGGATGTATTTCCAGCTGCAACCCAGTAATGGGAAACATCCATACACTATCGTTCACACAAACGCACACTATGGCCAATTTAGTTTATTCAATTCACCTATAGCGCATGTCTTTGGAGTTGTGGGGGAAACCGAAACACCCAGAGGAAACCCACGTCAACACAGGCAGAACATGCAAACTCCACACAGAAATGCCAACTGACCAGGCCAGGACTCAAACCAGCGTTTCGACATTCTTGCTGTGAGGTGACAGTGCTAACCACTGAGCCATGTCGCCCCTTGTTCTGAACAGTTAATAAAAAATGGCTTTGCTCAACACTTTTTGACTTTTTCATTTTATTTCATCATGGTGGCTGGGTTTATGGAAGCATACATTTTGACAAAAGGTTTTTATAGTAATTCTATCTATTTTTTTCTTAAATCTATTCTTAAACTAGTTAAAAACATTATTAATCATTTTTTTCTCTCATTTTTCCCATCTAAGATACTTTGCCTGCAATGCGCTTTGTGACTGCTATAGCAGAGAAAAACCAAGAGGAAAATGTGCTGGTGGAGAAGGTTTCTAGAGAGCTTTGGAAACGAATGTGGCAAAAGCATCAGGACATTACCCAGCCTCTCTCGCTTACTGAGGTATCCTATGCCTAGGATTAAGAAATCACAAACAATACAAAAAACAAAACAAAAAAACAAACAAAAAAACAAAAAAAATCACTAAATAGTACTCATTTACATAATGATTTTCAATTAGTTTCAGTGCTGTCAATTAGTTCAGTGTAATTAGTTACTGTACTTAAGAACATGTTCAGCTATTTGACTATGAAGAATATTTTTCTCAACAACCAACTAACTAACCACTTTTACTCCTTTTAATTTTATGTATAAATGCATATGCTCAGAAGGTTGCTGGTTCAAGCATAAAATATACGCTGGATAAGTTGGCAGTTCATTTCGCTGTGGAGACCCAGATTAATAAAGGGACTAAGCTTAAAAGAAAATGAATGAATCAATAAATGTGTATACTCTTTATTTAACTACAATTTATTTCTGTCTCAAAGGAAAAAATATAGCTGTCTACAGAATATGGAAGGTACATCATGGGTGTGCTGTGCAGAAGAATGAGGAGTAAACAACAAAGAAAATTTCTAAGGTTTAGTAAGCAATATGCGCACAGTACTATCTGGGGTTACAGCAAGAAGCAAACCCTGTGTAATGTGTAACATTAATACTGCAAATGGCACAATGGCCTCCTAAACACCTACAGATGCTCAAGTATCAATAAAGCTCAAATATTTAAAGTGGCAAAATAAACCAACAACCTCCAAAAGGCTTTATTCAATATAAAAGAAAATTTTATAAATTTTAGTTGACAATTTTTGTGTTTCTGCTTTGTGCAGGCAGGATTACTGGTAGGTCTCTCATCCAATGAGGTGGAAGAATTGCTGACCAATGCCAAATCTCAACCAATTAAAGACAAGCTGAAGAGTGTCACACAGGAGGCACTAGAGAAAAATGTTAGTGACTTTTATTTATGCCACAGCCTCCTTTCTGTCAACATTTTTTAAAGTAATTTCCCCTCTTTTTTTCAGGCCTTTGGTCTTCCATTCATTGTGTGCCATGTTAACGGGAAGGTTGAGGTTTTCTTTGGTTGTGACAGATTTGAGCTCATAGCTCATTGCATCGGTAACTACAATCTAAGTGTTGTTAACTGTTGATTGGACTACCTGATTAACCAACTTTAACAATTTGTTTGACTAATGCCATTCATTTATTTACACATTTAGAAGAGCCAGTCCTAAACTTATAGGAGCCATAAGCAAAAATCTGAGATGGGGGCCCCTGTATGTCCCTTAATAATAATCCCAAAATTACCCCAAACCCATTAATCAGTTCTTTCAGAGCAGTTGAATTAATTAATTGTACAAATGAATCAATTTGTCATAACAGAATCAAGTAATCAGATCTCATTATACTTTTTTTCAATATATAAATTAAATATACATTGATTCTTTTTATTTTTTCATTGATTTTATCATAGTCAGTTTAATTAACAATAAATTGCAGATCTCATGACAAGCATTTGATTACTTATGATAGCATGTTTTTTCTGTTATGTTGTATCTGCCAGGATAATCTGATCATTCCGTCCATTTACTGTTTGTGTCTATAAATACTTTGTTGAAAAAACATGCAGCTTCTGTCATGCATGTGTATTTACAAGTTCATTTACAACTTGTCAATTAACCATCTTGCTTAACAGGTTAAATGATGAATGGTCATCTCACCTACTTTATTATATATACCAAAGCTGGTTTTCTTGATGATTTGAAAGACTTTCATTCATTCATTCATTTTCTTGTTTGCTTAGTCCCCTTATTAATCCAGGGTCGCCACAGCGGAATGAACCGCCAACTTATCCAGCACATTTTTACGCAGCGGATGCCCTATCAGCCGCAACCCATCTGTTGGAAACATCCACAAACACTCATTCACACACACTCATACACTACGGACAATTTAGCTTACCCAATACACCTGTACCGCATGTCTTTGGACTGTAGGGGAAACCAGAGCACCCAGAGGAATCCCACGCGAATGCAGGGAGAACATGCAAACTCCACACAGAAACGCCAACTGAGCCAAGGATCGAACCAGCAACCTTCTTGCTGTGAGGCAACAGCACTACCTACTGCGCCACTGCTTAAGATTAATAAAGGGACTAAGCCGACAAGAAATTAAATGTATGAATGGTTAATTTTCCAATCATTCTTTCTTTTGTCTTTCAGGGGAGAAGTGGGCAGGACCTTGTCCAATCAAGACCACAATGTGACACTTCTGTTCCATAATGTATATATTTCTTTATACTATAAAGAGCCTATAGAAAATCATCATACCCTGTGAATCTTTTAGGATGAAGTTGTAGAAGGCACATGTTAGACGAAGAATAGAAAACATTTCAATTTCTGGAAAAGTTGATTTGATTTCAGGCTGTATGACAAATACAGTCACTATTTCAAAGTGGCATGATGATTTTCATGATGAGTTTCGCAGGAACCTTTCATTTACTATATTAATAAATAATGATTTTCCAGGATAAGTCAAGTTGCCTGATTAAAACATTAAGATCACAAAATACAAGCTATTTTTAAGGCATGTGTTTTGATTAATGAGAACAAAAGCGGTAAATACATCACTTTTTCAGTTGACTTTTTTTGTACATGTCTAGTATACAGCATTCAACATTTGAAGTGGATAACAAGCTTTCATCAAAGTTGTCCTAAAACTATTGAACAAATAACGCCCTAATAAAGCATGGGGAGTAGAGATAGGTGAAAGATCGACAAAGGACCGCAAGGCGGGAATCAAACTCGGGTCACCATGAGCACCAGAGTACATGTGTCGACGCACTAACCACTACACCACTGGCACTGACAAAGTTTCATTATTAATGAATTATGAATGGTTTATTCTGTAAGTCTTGGCAAATAGGTGACACTGTATCCAAGTTTTTGTGGTGTGGTCAGTCTAAAGGTGACAATGATACACCTTAAATTGGGTGTTAATATGTTTAAGCACAGCAGAGATACAGCCTCAGTGGCAGAGGCATTGTGTCCGTGCATTTGTTGGTGCAGTGTGTCACCTGTCAACACAAGTTCTAGAACTTTTTCTATTACCAGTTTTGAAATCACAGGAAAAAAATCACATTTTATATATATTCAAACTGAAAAATATTTAAAAACTTAGATCAAATAAATGCTAGCAGGAGAGGCGGTGGCGCAGTGGGTAGTACTGTCGCCTCACAGCAAGAAGGTCGCTGGTTCAAGCCTCGAGTTTGCATGTTCTCCCTGTGTTCGTGTGGGATTCCCCCACAGTCCAAAGACATGCGGTACAGATAAATTGGGAAAGCTAAGTTGTCTGTAGTTTATGAGTGTGAATGAGAGTGTATGGATGTTTACCAGTTATGGGTTGCAGCTGGAAGGGCTGTGTAAAACATATGCTGGATAAGTTGCCATCTCATTCCGCTATGGCGACCCCAGATTAATAAAGGGACTAAGCCAAAAAGAAAATGAATGAATGAATAAATACCAGCTTGCTGAACAGAAGAAACATTGCGAAAACATATTGTGGGTCTCGATTTGCTTCCAAATGAATTTTTTTGATATTTAGAAAGAACATGGACAAAAGACAACAATCACAACAAACCACAAAACAGAATTTCTCAGGATGTGCCCATGAACAGAACAGAATACTTAAGCATACATGAGTTTTCTCATCATAATTGCAGCATTAGCTAGTAATGAACAATACAGGTATTGGAAACTCATATCCTACTGCATATCTTTGTTTGTGTGAGACAGAAAAATTACGGACTCGGTTTTGGCTAACTTTCACATTTCACAAAGTTTTGCAAGTTGTCAACTTATTAAAATACCAACCATAATAGCCAAGCACACTCCATTGTTTTTGATGTTTGGCAGTGATGGACTAAGTACACAAGAGACAGAAAATAAGATGCATGTCTATATAAACTAACAATCAAAGACTTTTCTATTAGTCCTTTCTGCTCGCAAATGTATATTTATTTATTCAAAAATGAACTAAAAAGAGTAATATTGTGAAACTCAAAATAGAGTTTCAAGATTAAAATGTTAAAATTAACTATAAATATATATTTTGTGTGTTCTTCAGTGTCACATTGAAGATTATTATAGCTGGACTACATGGGTGGACATATTAAATGTTGAGTTAACCATGCTAATCACTAGGGATGTGTGATTAATCTAAATTGAATCATGATGTGAAACATTTCGATTAGCTAAATCGCAAGAGGCTGCAATATGAAATATTTATATGTATTATATAATTTCCCCCACCCAGATTAAATGCGTGACTGCCGTTTGTGTGTGATAGTCTTACTAGCCAATTGAGTGAGCACACTTCATTTTGCACAGAATAGGACAACCAATCTATGCAGAAAGCCTACACTAAAACAAACAAACAAACAAGAAAGCGCAGACAAGTGGGATGATGGCATTTGCCACTTCAGAAACAATGGACAAATTCATATAAAAGAAAAACAGCATGTTGGTTATATGGGAATATTTTGGTTTCAAAGTCACAGACAACAAATAAAAACAGGTCATTTGTAAGAATTGTTGCCACAACATGTAGAAATACAACAACCAGCACCTGAAAAAGCACATCAGGCTATATGAGGAGTTTCTTGGTATAAGTCAGCTAAAAGTATTGCCAGTGACACTCAATCTATTGGCAAGCAACAGCTAAGTACAATTTCAGAGTTGTTTGCAGCTGTTACACCATATGAAAAAACATCATGAAGGCACCAGGAGATAACTAACTAACGCCATAACTCACTACTGTTTGCTCCTGAGAAAAACGAGTGTTTAATTTCTGAATATTTATAAACAAATTGTAAAAAGTTGTAGTAAGTTAATATCTTTTCAGTTCTTTTTTAACTAACACACACTGCATTTTAGCAATAAGTAACTATGTTACAGATTATAGAGCTGAAGCTTGACTACAAAATAAATCATAAATCAAATTAAAATTTCTTGTTAAAATCTGAAAATAGATATTTCCCTAAATCGCACAGCCCCACTAACCACTGAGCAAAAGTGCTGCCCCAAAATACAATACATAAAAATAAAAATAAAATAAAATAATATCATTTTCCTCCTACCAGAACTGCTGGAAACCTTCAGGATGAGAAAACCCTTCCAGTCGGCACATACTGCAGAGCTCATTCTGTCCTGGCAGAACAAATGCAGTGCTCTCATGTATTTAAAACCACCCATGCATTTTGGGCTCCATGCTGTTTAATACGTAGTGGCAGTGGCACTATAAAACAGCCTGATAAACCATTAACACCACACCAAATAAGAGGAGAACGACAGTAAGGTAGGTTAAAGATATTCATGTAAATAACTGCTACCATATTGTAACTGTATACTGTATTCACCTATAGAGCATATAGCTTTAAACTGTGTGGAACACAAACAGAACATGCAAACTCCACACAGAAATGCCAACTGACCCAGCTTTTATTTTGCATTGGATTATTCAGTATAATGTAGTATTTCTAGCCCAATAAATAAATTATTTATACATCTCAACCTTACATATTCAGAACACACCATGTACAGAATGATACTGTACATGTCGTTGTTTTAAAGTATTATTAAAGTATTACTTCATTTGCAGTTTACAGTATGTTACTGAAGATGTTTAATGCATTCTGGTAAATGATAAGCTAATATACAAATAAATAAAGTTAATAAATAAATTAAAAGTTAACTCTTCCAATGCACAAATATTTTCAGGAAAGGATGATTCATTTTCTTAATTTCTGTCAGTGTCAGGCACATTAGAGCAAATTTGAAAAAGCTTTCTTATTCAGCAGTGCATTGTGTCTTCCACGCTGACCTGCAACATGTTTCATCCATTAAGTAATAAAAAGTAAGATTTTCATTCATATAGCTTACATATATTAGTCATAACCTAGTGTAGAAGTGACATTATGTTCACAATTTTGTTTATTCTCAACATTTCATGATTTTATATGTATTTTGGGGAAAAATGTTTGTCAATTAAAATAAAAGTAATTTTAGTCATTTCTTTTTTATTTTCAGTCATTTGTTAAGTCATTTATTTATGTAGCATTGTGGTTGAACTTGAACTAGGATATCTGGACCAACTGCAAAGTATTATGTCATTATGCCTGTGAAAGATTCGCTTTTCACAAAATTGTATAGACTATAATTATGTGATCATTGTGGTTATATTACAGATCTCCAGTTCCAGAAAAGTGGTGAATTGTTCTATGATGTTGTTTCTCCTTATTCTTGGCTGGCATTTGAGGTCTGTCTTTTTATCTTTTTTTTTTTTTTTTTTTTTTGCTTAAAGTGTAGTCAGTTGCCATGCAATTAATATCAATATAATTGATTTTTTTAGGTGCTGTGTCGCTACAACAAATGTTTGGAACACTGACCTCAAATTTAAACCAACCTTTTTAGGCGGAGTTTTTAAAGGTTCAGGTAATGGAAGAAAAAGTCAAACAATTTTTTGCTTCTACTTAAATTTGATTATTTATCAACAAAAAAATAGTTCTTAAAACAAAATTTAAGTTATAGTGTATTCATTTAAACACATTACACATCACCTCTGCATTTATCAATGAGGAGATGAAAACTTTCAATCAAGTTCGTTCCACTTTCGTTCCACAGGTAACATTGAACCTGGATCGGTCGATAAAAAGCAACGTTACTTGCTCACAGATCGGAAACTGATGTCTGAATCCCCCTCCAGTTTTGAACAAAGGTATTCAAATTCACAGAACTTTTTTATGTTTTAAAAATATATGTACTCTTTATTCAACTGCAATTCATTGCTGCCTTAAATAAAAAAAATAGAGACAAGACCTAACTAGATACTAGACCGTGTGCATTTTGCTATTATTTCTTCTTCAGTGAACAAGACTATCAATGAATGAGAATACTTTAGCAGCTAATTGATGACTCTGTATGTGAGGAGAAACTTGAAATGATTTAAGATGAATTACCACACTACTGTTTATTATAGTGCTGCTTTATAGCTAAATCTTTCATATTAAACTGAACTGATTAAACATAGAGCTTAATTAATTTGGATTCTGCCACAACTACAGAAAAATTACATTTATGTTTAGTACAACTAAAATATCGACACATTGATAATATACTTTTGTTCAAGGGGTTTTGAAATTTGTGACTTATAACTTGTAATGGAATAATTTTTTTCTTTTATTTATCTGTATTTTAAGCATGGTTTTCTTTACACCTCTGGTCTTTATTTGTAATGTCTGTGGTTAAGCCGAGACGGTACACTATAAAGACTAGAGCATCTTAGAGCAATTTGAAAGATATGCATGTGAAAAACCAGAAACAGCTGATTTGTGTGCAATCATGTTTGTAAAATTCAACACTAATATTGCAAATAGTACAACGGCCTCGTATACATCTACAGATGCTCAAGTATCAGTAAAGCTCAAATAAAATACTCATTCATGCATTAGTATTCCTTTGCCTTAGTCCCTAATTTATCAGGGGTTACCACAGTGGAATGAACTGCCAACTATTCCACGATATTTTACACAACAGATGCCATTCCAGCCGCACCCCAGTAATGCTAACATGGGGAAAACATGTAAACTCCACACAGAAATGCCAACTGGCCCAGACGGGACTCGAACCAGCAACCTTCTTGCTGTGAGGTGACAGTGCTAAGTACTAAGCCACCATGCTGCCCTCGCTCAAATACTTAATGTGGCAAAATAAACAAATATTCACCAAAAGGCTCTTTTAAATATAAAAAAAAAAATATTGTCAATTTAATTAAAGCCTAAAGCAAATTATTGTTTGACATTTTTTTGGGTTCATGCTTTGTGCAGGCAGGATTACTGGCAGGTCTCTCAGCCAATGAGGTGGAAGAAATGCTGACTAATGCCAGCTCTCAGCCAATTAAAGACAAGCTGAAGAGTGTCACACAGGAAGCCTTGGACAAAAATGTTAGTGACTTTATGCCACAGCCTCTTTGTGATGATTTTTTAAATTGCAGTAAACATATAATTTTTCCTTTTTCAGGCCTTTGGTCTTCCAATCATTGTGTGCCATTTTAATGGAAAGGTTGAAGTTTTCTTTGGTTGTGACAGATTTGAGCTCATAGCTCATTGCATCGGTAACTACAATTTAAGTGTTGGTAACTGTTGATTGGACTACCTGATTAACCAACTTTAACAATTTGTTTGACTAATGCCATTAATTTTTTTACAAAGAGTCATTTATTTTTGCAGAGCCAGTCCTAAATTACAGGGGCCCTATGCAAAACTCTGAGATCGGGCCCCTGTATGTACCTTAATAAAAATCCCCAAATGACCCCAAACCCATGAATCTTTTCTTTCAGAGCAGTTTAATTAATTGTTTAAATTAAACAATTTAGCCTAACTAAATCAAGTAATCAGACATCATTATTGATTCTTATTAAAGTTACTATAGTTAAATAAATAGCAGTGAATGAATCACTCATTGTATTATCATCGTCAGTTTAATTAACAATAAATTACAGATCTCATGACAAGCATTGGATTACTTACGTGATACCTAAACTCATTATAGTACTAATTAGCTTTAGGTGGAAAGTATCATGTTTTTTATTTCTAAAAGTAAGATCTTTAGTGATGTTGTATTAGCCAGGACAATCTGATCATTCCATCCATTTACTGTATGTGTCAATAAATACTTTGTTGAAAAAAAACATGCAGCTTCTGTCATGCATATGTATTTACGAGTTTATCTACAACTTGTCAATTAACCATCTTGCCAAACTGGTTAAAATAATTAAATGATACAATTGGATGATGAATGTTCATCTCACCTACTTTATTATTTATACCATAGCTGGTTTTCTTGATGATTTTAAAGACTTTTAAAAGGATTTAAAAACTTTGGTTAATTTTCCAATCATTCTTTCTTTTGTCTTTCAGGGGAGAAGTGGGCAGGGCCTTGTCCAATCAAGACCACAATGTGACACTTCTGTTCCACACTTCTGTTCCACATTGTATATATTTCTTTATACTATAAAGAGCCTATAGAGAATCATCATACCCTGTGAACCTTTTAGGATGAAGTTGTAGAAGACACAGGTTAGGAGAAGACTACAAAACATTTCAAAGGCTGGAAATGTTCATTTGATTTCAGGCTGTATGACGAATAAAGTCACTATTTCAAAGGGGCATAATGATTTTCTACAGACATATGTAATAGGGTTATATGATTGGTTGATAGGCTAAGTTTATAATGAGGATCTTCAATCTGAGCTGTTGAGTTTTGCAGGAACCTATCATTCGGTATATATTATTATTTAATGCTTTTCCAGGATAAGTCAAGTTGCCTAATTAAAACATTTAGATCACAAAATACAAGCTATTTTTTTAAAGACATACAGTTTGATTGATGAGAACAAAAGCGATAAATACATCACTTTTTCAGGTGACTTTCTTGTACATGTCTAGTATACAGCAGTCAACATTTGAAGTGGATCACAAGCTTTCATTCAATTCAATTCTTTGTTTCAAGTTGTACTAAAACTGACGAACAACACCCACTCTTGTCTTAGGACAATACATTTTTGATCCACTTCAAATGCTGACTACTGTATATTTCTTGACTACTGTATATGTCTTGCTGACGCACAACCCACACAAAACTGAACTCTGACTGCAATTATGGCAGAGATGGCAACAGAAAGATTCAAATTCTCAGTCAGTCCCCAAATCCAAGATTTCTCAAAACAATTTTGTCTCAAATCTTTAATATTGAACCGCTGAACTTTGGTGAAAAAAAGTGGTTACGTTAAACCCTCCTGCCCACCCGAGTGACACTCAACTCTGAGACCGGCCTAGGTTGCCAGGTGTGTACAAAGCACTTGATTTGCAGTTCAAATCCAATCCTGCCTCCAATCTTCAATAGTAAATTCACTCTCATCCATCATACCATCACAACTCACAAGACAACTTTTCACCTTGACGAGTATATTATAGGTCATAAATATAAAAAAAAGCAAGTGAATAATATAAATATAAAAAAAAACTTAGATGGAACAAAAACCTATCATTGGTAGGGAATCACAACAATGATTACACCAATACAACAACTACAACTTTTACTAATACCACCACTACAACGATGACGACAACGACAATGTCAACAATAACAACAACAACAACAACAACAACAACAACAACAACAACAACTAATGTTATAATTACTATTACTACTACCTTCACCACCACTACAACAACTACTACAACCATTACTACTACAACTGCTACTTTTCGTGACGCATGGACAGTGTGTTTGCATTTTAACAACCAGCATTCACACTCAAGCCAGGTTTTACTTGTGCATCGAGTGATCGGCGTAACTCATGGCGCATGCCTTGCTTGTAGCCATGCATTTATACTTCTGTGAGCTGTTTTATGTTGTTCTGCAATAACACTTCAGAAACGCTAGCTGGCAGTAGGTGTTTATGTTCCTCTGTGTCGAGTTTCTTCGCTGGTGTTTTGTTCTATCTGAACGCTACTTTAATGTACAAGTGGCTCAAACTTGCTCATTTTGAAGCAGGAATCAGCCGATGTACAATAACTTTAATCATAAGGTAAACATAAAACAACAGTTTCCATCTGGAGTTCCTTCACAGAACTTCCCACTTGTAAACACTCTCTCCATCTGGCTTGCAGCTATCAGCACCACCCACACTCATCAGCACTACCAAGCTGACCAATCACAGAGCGACCATTCGTAGGCTGTGTCAGTGCATACGTGTGCGCTTGACGCGGAGTATAAATCAGTCTTTAGAGCAGGAGCAACGCGTCAAAGAAGCAGCGCATACACATTTACCAGCTAGCTGTACATCTGTCACCTCCAACTGGACACATCAGGAAGAACAGGGGTGTAAAACTGTCTGGGCTGTAACACTGCCCGGGCCGTAGAACTGTCTGTGCCGTAAATCGGCCTGCGCTCCAGGTCTATAGATGGCCCATACTGTATATAGTTTATACTTGACACACTCTCCACTGTACTATTATTTGTAACAACAGAGGGCGACTCCCAGTGACGTTCCCAGGCGAAAGTATAAATCAGCCTTGTGATGCACGAGTATGGTTTTCTGTGCGCATGTGTTAGTTTGTTTTGGATTAAACTACATTGCTTTCACAAGCGGTGATTCGGTTGTACATAGTGAATAATTCTTTATTCTGGGATAACAACTCTTAATTAATACACTTGCATATCTGCCTTTCAGATAAACCACACACAAGGAGGACACTCAAGAGCAAGTAAATCTGCCAGTGTTTAAGCCAATGGAGACCTGAAGCGACATCTGAAATAAAAAGAACAAAGCAGCCTGCTAGTCTGCTACTCCAATTTTATCCAAAGGGTCGGATCAGATCAGGCCTTCCAAGGGATGAAATCACCTATTTGGTGAAATAATAAAAGAAAAACTCCTCAATGGTGTTATCAAGACTTTCAGAAAAAGGATAAAAATAGTTTGATGGCAGCCAGAGGAGAGAGTAACATGAAATTTACTGTCAGCCCCATAGACGCTGCATTAGAAACTCCTTGCATAAACGGTAACTCATGTTTTTGATTTTTTTTGTTTCATTATACAAAAATGGTATAATGCATTCATAAACGCACAAAACTGTTCATACGTTTAAAAAATTTTAAATATTACAAATTTTCAAGGATTTAAGATAATGATGACCATTAAAACGCATCATAACGGTCTTGGTAAAAGGATCCATTGCACTTTTATTACATTCAAAATTATCTGAATTAATAGAGTAACTTTGGATTAAGTTAGATGACATAATCAAGATATATTTACTATGAGTTCTCGTAATATTTTTTAGACTATAGCAAATAAACTGTGAAAATTAAAAAAAAATTGAAAGTGTCTGAATAACTTTTAATTTGGCTCCATACATTTTGCTGTGCTGCTGATTTAAATCCTCATGTCAGTTTTTATGACTCTAATGCCTTTCCCTTCCCACCAGGAAACTCACAATCACGTTAAGATTAAGTACCGAAGGGTTGACTGCTGCGGCGGTGTCCTTTGACTAGCTGCTTAACCTCTAGTTAACTCCAGGGGTCTTGGACGATTGGCCTGCCTGTAACCCCTGACTAGCTCACACCCTCCGCATATCACCTCTAAATAAATAAAGCCCTTTTAAAAATTCAGCGTATCTTCGCAGCTCTGGTTTTAGATATGCCCGAGACGAAGCTTCACTCTCCATCTGAGCTGGAAGAGTCATTACTCTGATCCTGGTCCAGTTCTGAGGCATCCTGTGAAGGTCAATGTTTTTTAATAAGACGCTTAAGAATACTATCTGCCTGCACCTGCGGATGGGACAGATCTTCAGCTCAGCTCTCAGCTTATCAGAGAGAACAGCAGCCTGATAGGAGCCTGTTCTTCCTCTTCCTCGTGACCTTCATCTGCTCTGAAGACTGTGGCGAGCAGCCAAACGCCGGGCACCTGCTTCTGAGTCAGGAAAACCAGAACTTCGAGGGTTTTACAAATGATTCTAGAGCCTGCAGCTGCTTCTGTGAACAGCTGCTTACTGCAATGGCCCAAGAAAGTTTTTGTTTTTATCAAACTGTGTACATTGGTGTTTGTTTTTGCTTAAAGTATTTTATATTTTAGTTCTAAAAGTTTGTCTTTCACAGATTCATGTGTTGAGAATGTACATTTGGGATCAGGAGATATTTATTTTAAATATTTCTTTTTGAGAACTGACATATTCAATTGTTTCAAAATTATTTAAAGAACTTACAGTATTTATTTTAAAATAATTATTTTTTCTTAATAATTTTTTTTTTATTTGAAATTATTATTTTTATTTTGACCTTATATACATAAGTGGATTCTAAAACAATCTTTTAGATTTTAGTGCAAAATGATTTTTAAATGGCATCTATTTGACCCATTTTTCAAGATTTAAGATAAGTCTTTGATGCCTCAGCTCAAAGTTTCAGCTCAAAACACCCATCAGATTATTATTATTTTTTTTATTTATTCCAGAATATTGGAATTTTCTGCTTTGAAAACAATGTAGCTGTTTTTGTTGCCTGTGCCTTTAATGCTAGTTCTCCTTGCCTATTGATCCCACGTGCCTGTCAGAGTGAGCCTCAATCTCCGCCTCAGCTGCGTCAGATAAACAGCACAGTGACTGACATGAAGGAAGCAGATCTCATGTAACGTTTGTGAGAAATACTACAGTATGAACTTTCCCAATGATTATTTGATGTATTTGTTGTGGAGTTAATTCAAGCCTTTCGATGAGTCACACACAATGTTGTTACAAAGTTCACACACACACATAGTGCGCAGTTAATTTTGCACTGTACTGGCATGGCAAATGTGACAGGATACACGTTAATATCCGCTTTTGTATGGATATCCATTATGTTAATGTACAAAATAAACCTAATTTAAGTCCACAAACCGGCATTGAAGAAATTAAGAACCATACTGATATGCACCAATGGTGATGAAGTAAAGACTGAAAAAATGCTGTAATTCATTACAAACATGCAGTGTTTTAAAAACTCATTCTTTACCACATTTGATGATGATTGATGATCAGAGAGCTGAACCAATATTTTAATCTCAGTTGCTTTGTGCACATCCTGTTTTGATGATATGATTATACAACTGAAACATGTTAAAATGTAGCTGTCAAAAAAATTTGGTGGGTGGGGAAACCACCCACCTAGGTCACATTGTGGTGGGCCTCAAAACGGGAGGGATTTGGATCCTATTTTAACGTCAGCAAATTAAAAATAAAAGCTTATTGTATTTATATCACTCCAATATGACTGTGGACACACTATATCTACACAGTTCTGTCCAAACAGCTTACAAAAGATAATTCGCATCAGTACCCTTTAAACTATTACAATTTTGA